GACACACGGTGATTCTTACTAAGTTGATAACTAAGACTTAAAACTTGGAGTTTTAGATTTTAGAGAGGGATATTCAAGATGACAATGCCATTGAAAGGGGACGACGAATCCGGCAGAGCCCGAGTAGGTGAATCAAAATCAAAGTAAACTTATCTTCTTCTTCGCCTTGAGATCCTAAAACCTACAATAAGAGGGATAAAAGATTACGGAACAATTGAGAGAATGTATAATCTAGCTAATGGAAAGTAAACTAAAAGGAAACTGAGGAACAAATAACACAAAGGATAGAGACATATTAGGACTCAATTGAGTAGTCCCAAAATTTTAAACTTTAGAGCAAGTAACATTAACAAAGAATAACATTATGTGTGAAAGTAACAAATTGATAAGTAAAAAAGACACCAGACGCATTAGTCATGTGGTTAAAAGCGTCAGAGTCTATGATTCTGGGACTGCGAGTGGAAGACAATAAACAAGTGAAAGCGGTATCTGATTAAGAAAAAGTAGCAATGGAGGAAGATGAAACAGCCTATTGCTAGGACCAAGGATCAATATATCGTTTCGAAACGGTTGAAATATCTGAAACGTTTCTATTTTCAAGGAGACCGAAACGAATCAGTGACGGAATCAAAATTGTAATACTTCTAGGTGTTCCTTAATGTTTCAAAATTTTTTATTTTATTCTAATGTATTTGCACAATTATTTCAGAATGTTTCAAGATATTTGAATATATTTTGGTATATTTTGACCAATATTTTTAAAAAATAAATTTTAAAATTTTATTTTTTTTATGATGTTTTCAAAACGTGTTGAAACATTTTTAAAATATGTTGAAATGTTTTTATTTTCTAGGTGATCGAAATAATACACCGAAATGAATTTTGATCCTTGGTTGGGACAAAAACTGAGCATACTCCTCTAGCGTAAGAGTAACTGGCCTTGAGTTGGGTGGAGCTGACCGAGGTATAGAGGCAACAATCGAGGTGTCATCCTGATAGAAAACTTGATTAGCAGCACTGGAAGGTTCTCCATGTAAATCCTAGCAGAAATCAACAGCGTGTTCTCCATGACCACAATGAATACATGAACGAGATCCACTACAACCCCACGACTGCCAATACGACCTCCAGTATGACCTCCACGACCACTGCGATTACCATGTCCATCTCGATGACCATCACTGTGACTACTAGGAACTACAAGAGTTGAGCGGCCAATGGAAAACACCATGATCAATGCCTGAAGAACCACTAGACAAAGTAGCATGCTATAAACGAGAGAAAACCTCAAGTAGAGAGGGAAGATTGGAGCCACCCAAAATTTGAGAGCGAATAGACTCATATTCTGGTTTCAAATCTACTAGAATCGAACATTATTCAATCCTCACATTGCTTCTACCAAACTATTGCATAAGTAGTGAATGGGTGGTAGAGCTTCAAGTGGGCTGGATCTGGACTTGAAGTGAGTTGGATCTGTATTTGCTTGATTGGAATGGACTTAAGAAAAATTTAAGCTTGTGGACTTGGGTCTGTTACCTAAACCTGCAATCGACCCGTTTGTGGATCTGGATCTCATTTTCTTCAGTGATTAGGGTTTCAATCAAATCCTTATGCCTTCGATGTCGATGGCGCCTCGCACCCAACTAGCAGCCACACAACCACAGCTGCCACAGAAACAACCGATGTCGACGACCAACAACCACACCACCACCATCGCCACAAAAGCCACCGATGTCGACAATGCCTCACACCCAACTAGTGGCCACCACAGAGACTTCCACCGTAGAAATTTCTATCAGTGAAATACCACCACCACCACGATATAANCCACACCACCACCATCGCCACAAAAGCCACCGATGTCGACAATGCCTCACACCCAACTAGTGGCCACCATAGAGACTTCCACCGTAGAAATTTCTATCAGTGAAATACCACCACCACCACGATATAACACCACCACCACTAGTGACTTTGACAATAGCACCACACCACCACGAGTCAAACATGATCCGCACACTAAGTTAGGTTTTGCTGACTGGGTTAATATTTGTATTTAGGATCGTAATTGTTTTGATATAATGTTAGGTTGAGAGAATTAACACAATTTTAGAGAGAGACAGAGAGAGGTCAAAACTTAACCTACCTCTTACAAATCACTTGTATATATAGTTAATTTGTATTCATACAAAAGACGTATATACCTTCTAGTATTTACATAATACCCTAATATGTTTAACATTGTTGATAGTCCTATGCATCATGGGTGGTTATTGGCATGGGTAAGGAGGTGGAGGATATGACGTGGGCTTCCCGTGAGGCACAAACGGGATCTATGGGTTGTTCCTTAGCGAGGAGTTGGTATTGCTGGTCGATGGTAGGGAGGAGAACGAGTTAGGCTTTGGTGTGGGCGCTTGGAGTTGCAGACACAATGAGGATGGGGGTGCACGAAGGAGAGAGGGAAGGGAGGTGGAGGGTTGATCATAGGACTTTGGACCGGTTCATATTAGGTGTGAGATTTGATGCAAATGACCCATTGTTTTTTGTCGCAAAAAATACCCTTTCTAATATGGTCACGTGAAATACTTGACTAATTCTGTCAATGATTTTAATTTCCGGTTTTTCTTGAACCAATTAGACTCAAATTGAACATGAGAGACCAAGTTGACAATTGAAAGTTTGAGAACTACAATGTTATTAAAAGTATAGTTATCAAATCGTGTATCGAAAGGCGTATCGTTTTTTAAAAATAGTGTATCGTATCGAGTATCGTAAGATACGGTGTAATTTTAAATAAATAATAAAAAAATATATATACCTTTGAAAAAAAATCACACTAATAAAAATATAGCATTTCATTCATACTTCACCACCTATTCAAGTCATCAACATAGTTCACTAATATTATAATGCAAAGTTTACAACCATAGTTCACTAATTCAAACTTTAAACCCCAAAGAGACTTTTAATCCAAATTTCTAACATCCATTTTGAACTCAATCCATAAAATTAATCAAGATTCAGAAATTTTTATACAAAAAAAAAATTAGTGTCTTATTTAGACAAACCGATGTCGTTTCATGAAAAAAAAAAAAGGTTTTGCGTGTATCGGTTGTATCGTACCGATACGTATCGTATCGTGTATCGGACGATACGATACAAAAATGATACATAACTACGATTCGTATCGTTTTACCTCCGTATTGTAACGTATCGTACGTACTAACAACTATGATTAAAAGCACGTAGAGGTGATCGAGGTTGGGCGAGCACAAGTTAGCTCAAGTGATGCTTAAGCGCCAAAGACAAATCTTTATGCTTAATCAAAAAAATGACGAGATGAGCAATTTTGTAATTTTTTTAAAATTTTCTTTGTTGATATATTATAGACCGTTATATTGCATTTGAGAAATTGGAACTTGAACATTTATTATTAACTAAATTAAAATATTTTCTTTGCTTTATACTATTCTTCTCGGTTCATTTCTCGCCTAAGCCTCAGGAGACTTGAGCACTTTGGTTTGCTTTATGCCTTAAATAATACTTGGGGACAAAACTTACACAAACTGCATATTTGAGGGATCAAAAGTGTATTTTGTCTAAATTGTTAATTAAGTTGTTTGTATTAAAATCTTGGTAAGATATATTTTTATTTGATATCAATATACTTAATGTTTCTTGTAGCATTGTCTATTTTAGGTGGAATTTTATCTATTTTAGTTTAAAAATCTTATTTCAGTAGAAACAACTATTACAGGTAATATAAACAATATATTGTGAGCAATACATGCATTTGGAAAAACCTTTTATCTTAATATATAATTGGTACCTCTATTGGACAATATGTTAGGTGAGTGCTCAAAATAGAGAAAGGAATGGTTGATGATTGTTTTCAGTTTGTATGGATTACACAAGAACCAACATTTTTCTAAAAGGAATACTACTATTGAAACCTAAAATAATGACCTGATAATCCAACCTAATGAAAGGTCATGTTATGTCCCATAGATATAATTATAGAAATGTTGTTTGGTCATGTTAGCTGCCACATCATTAGGTTAGACTACTGGATCTAATTTGCAGGTCCCAGTTGCATTACTTTTTGAAAAAAACGAGATACAATGCCGATCATTTAATATTTTTAATTGAATGTCCCAGTAGCACTGCTTTTTGAAAAACAAAAAGATTTGCAATGATGATCATTTAGTATTTTTAATTGAATATGCTTACTGATTAACCTTTTGCCCTAGATTTTTTTTTTTCGACTTCGACTTTTATTAACCTTTTTTTTTTTTTTTGCGAACCTTAGACTCTTATATGGGGTTTAAAATTCTAATGTCAACTTTGCTACATAGAAAAATGGGGCCTTATTTGTGAGCGAGGTCTAAACCCATCATTTTGATGGCTTTAGATTCGAGCCCCCCTAGTTCTAATTCCTTTAATTAGTCATATTGATCTTGTGGATAAACCATAATGAGACCATCTGTACTTCATTGAAAGTAAAAATTGCTATTTTTTTGTATTGTTCTTATATAATTCATTGAAAATTATAATTATCATATCCTCAAGGGCAAAAATCATAATTGGTACCTAAACATTCAATTGTCCCAATTTAGTTCCTTAACTATGAATTTTGTCTCAATTAAGTCCTTTCGTTTATTTTTACCGTTACATCAAATGGAGACTAGTCCGATCTAATCAATTTCCACTGTTAGATTATATGTTTCCATTTGATCTAACAGTGGAAATTGACGAAAGGACTTAACTGAGATGAAATTGATAATTGAGGTACTAAATTAGGACAATTGAAAGTTCAGGAACCAAATTGACACCGAAGTCAAAGTTCAGGGACTAATTATGAAATTTACCATATCGTCAAATTATTGGAAAAATATAGAACAAATTCTTATATAAGACATATTGTTTGCCGTATCCATATCCTACTGTATCCTATTTTTTTAGGTTTTGCAGTATCACTATATCTTTCTCGTACTGTTTCCATGCTTCCTTGGGTGGCATTTATCCTGAGCCAGTCCAAACTTGATCCAATAATTAAAGCGGGGGAAAAGGACAAAATTGATATTGAATCGGAGAGTATGGCTGAGTACCTATAGCTTCGTACGGATTCGCCCTCCTAGAATTAGTTCTTGTTGTAGTGTGACATCTAGGAGAATGGTTTTCTGGTTAGAACTTTTGTATGGATTTATCATGTGTGCTTTTGATTTATTGTGCTTTCACTTTGTTGTGCTCTGATTTGTTCTTCCACTCAACAGTTCTCATCTCTCTTTGCTAAAAATATTATGACAGTGCCAAACTCATCGACATCTATCGCTCTCGGCATAATATAACTGCATCGACTGGGCTGAGTGATCCAGCTGTTGCCACAGGGATTTCTGATCTTATGTATGAAACTACTAAAGTGACACCTACTGAGCCCGATGTACTTGATGACGACCTAGTAAATGCTTGGGCAGCGAACCTGGGTGACGATGACATGTGGGGAAATAATGCTCCTGCAATGAATAGGGTAAGACATTTGACTCATTTATCAAAATCATAACTGTAATCTGTCGTTTGAAATAAAATTTGGAGGATTCAATACTCAACACATAAAATATATGTGCCACTATTGGTTGATAGTAGTGATGCTTAATATAGGATGGTAGGGAAATGGACTTCATAGAGTTGGCTCTTGTAATTGGCACAAAACAATTCCTTTGAGGTAAATATGTTAAGGATCAGCCAATTAATTATAGATCTTGTGAATTTTATATTTTCTACTGCTTGTAATCTGTTGAATTGCGGACATGTGAAACAAATGACTAACGTGTGAAAATGTAGATGGGAATTTCTGAGCCAAATCAAACTTCTGTCTGGTCAGTCACTGTAAGGAATGAGTTAAAATCAGCCATTCTTGTCCACCTTGATTGCTTAATGGGTCATGTCCTGGTGAGGTGCTAGATTCAAATGAACTGAGAATGAATCCCTTTCCATTATAGAAATAAATGAATTACAATAGGTTTGTGATCTCGCTTTCCCCCTATCTTATTGTTGTTGAACGCAAGATCCTTTTGTCTCTGCTTTATGCTAGGTTAATGAGTTTCTTGCTGGTTCTGGTACTGATGCCCCCGATGTTGAGGAGAACATTAATTCTAGACCTTCTATGAGCTATGATGATATGTGGGCAAAGACCCTGTTAGAGACGTCCGAAATGGAGGTAAAAATCCTGATCCCTTTTTCACGTGGCCATGTGTACAGCCTCAAAATTTGGCCAAGAGAAAGCTAAATGTGAAATAATTTCTTTGATGTTGCAGGAGGATGATGCGAGGTCATCCGGGACTTCTTCCCCTGATTCAATAGGATCAGTTGAGACATCAATATCATCCCACTTTGGTGGAATGAACTATCCATCATTGTTCAGTTCAAAACCATCCACCTATGGGTCTTCACAACCCACGGTATGGGATATGCATATAGATTTTTCCATTTAACATCCTCATGAACATTTTGATGATGTTTTAAGTTGTGTTTATGATTTCATGTTTTCACATGTAGGAAGTTGAAAGTTGTGGTGGAATGATTATTTGATTAGAATACTTCAAGAGTTAGCTTGAATTTGGATTACTTGGACTGGCTAGGAACCAAGGATCAAAATGTCGTGTCGACACGTCCGAAACGTCTGAAACGTTTCGGAATTTCAACACTCCGAAACGAAACAGTAGTTGAATCACAAAATTCCAGTGTTTCGGACCGTTTCGGTCGAAACAGTACTGTTTCGACAAAACAATGATATATTCAGTTCACTATGAATAATTACATTTAATACCCATTGTAATTACATTTAATACCCACTATAATTATATTTAAAACCCCACTATAATTACATTTAATTCCCACTGCTCTTCTGTCTTTTATAATTTTTTTGTTATAAGAATAAATAATTACACTTAATACCTTACTGTAATTATATTTAATACCCCACTGCTGTGCAAGTCTTTTGCTTTTTTTTTTTGGTTATAAGTATTAACAATTACATTTAATACCCTAATATAATTATATTTAATACCCACTGTAATTATATTTAATACCCACTGCAATTACATTTAATTTTTAAGTATACATAAGTACCATTAATTTAATTTGATACCCTTCATTATTAGTATTATAATAAAATAGTATTATTAATTGGATAATATTACCGTAATAATATGAGTTGGAGTAACTATTGTCATCATATTTATGTCACATATGGAGTTTCTCTAAGTAGCTACCCAGAGCCTACACCGATGTATGAGCCTGCTCGACACTCCACAGGGGAATGGATGTAACCATGTAAGTATGTACTCATTAGCATTTCATGTGTATTATAAGACCTTAATATTATGTAAAAATGTGTTTATTTCATAAAAATTAAGTGTTTGAAACTAATTTAAGTGACTTTCGCCTCATGTCAAGTCTTTTTTTCCCTCAAATTTAAATTTATTCTTGTATAAATAGATGTTAACCCAATAAATATGTTGAATTAATCAATTATTTAGCATATCTTTATAAATTAATGGATTGTATTTGTGTTTCTATGCGTTTTCATATTTTTTCTGCGTTTCCATTGTGTTTTCGAAACGTTTTCATTTTTGAGCTGACCGAAACGGTACTTCGAAACGAAATTTCGATCCTTGCTAGGAACACAAACTTGGACTTTTACCTACTTTTATTTTCAAAAAATATGGTTTAAAGTCTACAATTTCCTGGGTCATGTCCTATCTTATGGATATGGCTGAAAGTTAGCGGTGGTCTGTGGTTTTGCAATTTCTTGTTTCTTTTGTATCTTCACTGTTCCAAATGTTTGTCTTGTTGCTTGGATTATTTACAAATGGTCTGCAAAACTCTTGTAACTGTTGTCCAAGTAACTTCGATCCTAGTTAAACCCTATATTCCTATTCTTCATTGGTCCTAGTAACTATTGTTGTTTGCGCTGGTTTATGCTAGCAAGCTTGTACCCAATAGACAAAATTTCTTTCCGAAACGTTTATGTTTCTTGGAAATTGAAACAAATCAGCGATTGAATATTGGAATTCCTGTGTTTCGGGGTGTTTCAACATGTTTCGGTATGGTTCTGACATGTTTCAGTATGTTGTGCTCAATCTTTGGGAATGTTCTGCTGATAAATTTTTAAATTTTTTCTTTGTTTTCACCATGTTTCCTAATTATTTTTATAGCGGCATGTGTGTAGATTGTATTATGAATACATTGATATGATGCTCATGAGCAATTCATCTGTATTATTAGACTTTAATATCTTGTTATGTGTGTTTGCTTGGTGAAAATGATGTGTTTGACATTAGTTGAAATGACTTTGGTCCCATATTAACCATTTTTCTTCTCTCCAAATTGACGTATCTAGTATAAATGGTTGTTCAAGAAGTAAACATGCTCAATTAATCAATTATTAAGCTTATTTATATAAATAAAAAGATTTTATTTAATGTTTCCATCTATTTACACTTGTTCCAATTTTTTTCTTTGTTTTCACTGTGTATCTGAAACATTTCAGTTTTCGTGTTGATCGAAATTATACACCAAAATACATCCTTGGAAGGTACAATAGCCCGAGGTAGAATGTGTACCATCAAGCAAGCCTACCTAAACTACATATGTGAAGGCTTTAAATTTCAAGTCCTTTATCTGGATCAGACTTCAGATTTCTCAGGACATGATGACCTACCTCTAGATGTTGAGTGCAGGGTTCATGTAAAACTGATTCACAACTCCAACTGCATAGGACCATAGGCCATATTTGGATGTGTGCAACAAAGATACATCAATCTCCCCTCATGTCTCTGATATCTTCCCACTTGACTACCCTCCTTACTTTGAAGATGATGGCTGACTTCATGCAAAACTGATTCGCAACTCCGACTGCATATGGCCATAGGCCATATTTGGACGTGTGCAACAAACATATATCAATCTCCGCTCAAGTCTCTGATATCTTCCCTTGGTCACTTGACTACCCTCATCACTTTGAAGATGATGGCTGACTTCAGTAGAGAGTTTGCTAGCTTGCTACCTAGTATACCAGTTTCTTCTAGTAGGCCAAGAATGTTCCTCCTACGATAGATGCAAATATTCTTGTCATACCTAACAATTTCTATCATGAAGGCGTAACTCCAATTTCCCATTTCTTAAATTTCAAGTTCCTTTGCTAGGTGATCTTTCACAACAGGAGACTTTCTTGTCACTATATTGTCTTCGTCCACTATGAGAGGAGTGATCTTATTGCACACGCGCTTGATGAACATAGCATGATCCACATAACTCTGTCTACACACATACTTCACCATAGTCTTATGAAATCTGTCAAACCAGACACTTGGAGATTGCTTCGGCCCAAAGTGAGCTTTCTTTAACTTAGAAACCTCTCCTTCAGTTGCTTGACTTGAGGAACCTTGTGTTTCCACGTACACTTCTTCGAGATCCCAATGTAGAAATTGCTTTTTCTACATTTAACTGCTGTAAACTCCAACCCAAGGTTGTTGTGCAAGAGAGTAGTCTGCGAATGGAGTTCATTCTGGCAACAGGAACGAAAGTCTCTTGATAATTTATGCCATGTGTCTTGAGTGAACCTTTTCACAATTTGCCTTGCCTTAAACCTATTATTTTGCTCTGCTTTTTGCTTGATCCTTAACACAAACCTGCAGCCTACAGGTCTTCTCCCATTTGGAGTAGACACCAATTCCCTGGTTTCATTCTTCTCCAAAGCTCCATCTCTTCCACCATAGCTGCTTTCCACGTAGGATCTGCAAGAGCTTCCTTCCAACCCCGAGGTAGAGACACAAAAGGCATTAAGGAAACAATAACACAATAGGAAGATGGAACGATAGTATCATCAACAATAGGATTACCTCTAGTGGGGGAAGAACTCATCACGTGAAGGATGGGACAAAGATGGGGAACTAGTGTTGGAGATTGAGATGGACTTTGAGGCACATGTTTGGTGATCTACTTCTCTTGACACTTAGAACTAACATGTCTAGGTCGGTCATATTTTCGTAGATCTTCCCTATACAGTCGTCTATTCTGATGAATGATAGATAGTCCTTTGCTTCCCTTCACCATTCTGTTCATTATGAGTGGACATTGTTCAACAAAAAAAAAAAAAAGTAATATAGAACATTGAACAAAATTGAAAATAAAAATAGTAGTAGTCAAACCCATAGGGCTAATCAGATGTCATAATTTTTGGTTTAGTTGCCAAATATACTCCTGAGCTTGTGTAATGGGACTACTGCTCAACACTTAGAAATTCATTAAGTATCCTCCTCGTGACAAGGTTCTTATAAACAAAATGTGAAGGCAAGAATGTTGCATTACAATGTCATTTTCGTTTAATGCTACTCACAGATGAAGTTTATTTGAATGATTAAGAACATGTAAAACAGATGAGAGAGATAGAGGAAGTGACTATAATAGAACTTGTACCAACTATAGAAGACAATGAATCATTAACCATTTTAACCTATTGTTTTCGTGAACAAGCAGTATATGATGAGAGCAAAGTGGACAATTCTATCATATGATCAGAGGCTCCTGAATAAATAATCCAAGTACAAGAAAGGATATTACATGATACACTCAATGCTATAGGTAGGCTCGAGATCCTTCATTACCCACGGCGTAAGCGTCGTTCTCTATACCAAATTGAGGAGGCCCATGTAATTTCTAACAAGTTTCTCGATTATGTTTGCTTAATATTTACAATGGATAAAATTGTGATTCCCAAATTTGTTTACCAAATATTGTATCAGAAATAATATGTCCAAATCCTATGTATTGAATGCTTGGTAGAAGTTAGTGGATTTCGTTGATCCAACCACCCACACTGATTTGGGATACAAAATTTGTTAAATGATTGATAAGCATAGCATCAATTACAATACAACTTATTTTTTATCATTAGATGTAACTTCATTTGTACGTTCGAGCTCAACTTTCTTACTTCCCAATCGGCTATCTTTAGAAGCAACAATAGCTAGGGTTAAACTCTCCTGGGGCATAGGGTGAAACATGATCCCTCGTCACCTTTATTCTAATTGAATATAAGCATACAAGTCATAACCCGTGCCGGACGGCACGGTAAAATATAAAATTCGAGCGTCTAAAAAATCGATCTCCTAATATTAGATTTTTNGGGGCATAGGGTGAAACATGATCCCTCGTCACCTTTATTCTAATTGAATATAAGCATACAAGTCATAACCCGTGCCGGACGGCACGGTAAAATATAAAATTCGAGCGTCTAAAAAATCGATCTCCTAATATTAACATGTGTATATTATCATAGATGGATAATGTTTAAAATAAAAATTATTAATTACAAATTAATCAAATATTAAATAATTAAACATATGATATAAATGAGTGATGTGATGTTTTTAAGGAAAAAATATGTAAATGATTAAACATGTGATAGAAATGAGTGATGTAATATTTTTAAGTGAGAAAATATGTAGTGGATCAAAATTCAAGTTGCTATGTGTTTATTATATAGATATCTCTCTTAGAGAAGGGAGAGGATCCTTCCCAAAGATTTGAATCCTAATTTGATCAAACTTAGGATTCAGGGCAACAAGAAATTCAATAATGCTCTCTTGTTCCATTAATTTCTGTGGCTTTGAGGCTTCTGTACCACAAACCATATCAAATTTTTTTGATAGTGATCCAATTCTTGCCATAACAATCGCAAAGTATGAAAAAAGATCGCGAAAGAGGACTGTCTTTGTATAGTATTATGAATCTGACATTTTAACTCATAAATTGGTGCCATGTTTCCCTTCTCAGAGTAAGTCTGTGAGATTCCTCTGAGATCTCCTTTCATGTGTGAGAAAACAAACAACCTGATCTCTGGTTGCATAGAGTGGAGTAGGCAAGACATAATCATCGAGTTCTCAACCTCCCCCTCATCCTAAAGACGGTCGTCAACTTGCGCTTCTGCAACTTTACTAGTCAAATAACCCATTTTTCCCGTACTATTTATAAACATTGTATCTGACTGTGACCAGGCCATGAAGCTTTGTCGTAATATGTAGGGCAAGATTTTCAGTCCAAAGCGTGCAACACCTTTGGACTGTTTCTGAGAGACCATGCTAGGTTTTGACATCCTTAATTTGATTTCAACCTCTTTTCAAGGCCCTAGATATAGACTGGAAAAAACAAAAAGAAACCCAACTACTATCCTATAACAATATTCAATCAACTCAAAAATCACAGAAAATGGACCGACCTACTATCGGAACACAGAAAAGAGCTGTCGTCAGAGGTGGTCAGATCTGACTTTTCCAAAAAATAGGTCAATTTTATTTGAAAATTGGAATAAAATAGGAAAGAGGCACCGAATAATTTCAATAGGATCTGTTTTTTTGGAATTTTTTTAATAGCTTGAGAGATAGATTAAATGATTTTCTTTCAAAAGCAAATTAAATAATTTTGAAATGCAGATGCAGCGACTCGGGCTTGATTAGAGGTCTATTCTGAGGCTTTGAGGGCATTTCTTCATTATGGAATTTATTTTTCTTTACATGGGCCGTGTATGTGATCATGACACTGTTTAATTGCCCATAACAGGACAAACCGGCTAGCAGATTTGGTTATCCTTCAACATATGAGGGTCCTGGTTCTCCGGTTCGGACTCTTAACCTGTTACCAATTTTTACCCCCTTTTTATTAATTATTTATTTTTATGGTATGAGTACAATATCTCGGGTTTTAAGCATTTTCAGGTTAGAGAAGAACCTCCGCCATACACATCACCTGTCATGCAAAGGTATGAGTCATTTGAGAATACCTTAGCTGGGCCTGGTTCACGCAATTTCAGATCCCTCGAAGGGGAGCGGGTGTCTTCAAGTAATGCACAGTTTGGAACAGCGCTTTATGACTTCACAGCCGGCGGCGATGATGAGGTAATCTGGCATTTGGAAACGGTGGTGTTGGTTTCTGGAATTCCAGAGAATTATCTGCATAATTATACATACTGTAGTGAGATATAGTTTTTGGTTTTTTTGGAGAATCATCTTTTTTTGTCAGTTTAGGCATTAGTGTTGGTTTTGGTAGAAGGTTTGGATGATTAATGATAGAAATCCTTTCTTGCAGCTAAATTTAACATCAGGTGAAGAGGTCGAAATTGAGTACGAAGTAGATGGCTGGTTTTATGTAAGTATCAAAGAATGGGAACACCCGGGGGTGAGATTACATGTTTTCAAATTGGGAATTTGAATTGGTAGAAGTATGTTTGGATATTCTTGTTTGGTTGCTTGCAGGTGAGGCTGCCCTATATCGAGTGCAGTACTCTGCTTGGTGGGTGAGCTCAAGAATCATTTCCATGGTTAACATGCTGTCTTCTTTTCTGTGTTGCAGGTGAAGAAAAAACGCCCTGGTAGGGATGGGAAAATGGCTGGGCTTGTTCCTGTCCTCTATGTGAGCCAATCTTGATACCATAGTTTATTGCTCATACATGGTTTGGTTTCATCCTTCTAATTGTCGAGCAAAGACAGGTTTCTTGAAATGGTTTCTTTAGCATTCTAAGGGCGTAAACTTATTTAGTTGTTAAACATACACACGGAAAGAATTCCATTTACTCACTAATTTCTTTTGCCAACTCTTTCTGTCAACCTTTTTGCCCGATTTACCAGTTTCAGATGAGATGTTTCCTTTCTTTGGACAGTTTCCTAGTGTCTGCATGTGCTTTTGTTTGTGGTCCGGGTTTGTAACGTAATTTTGGAGTGGGTACATATTTACTGTAGCTATGAAAGCACCCACATTTTCTTGGCAGTTTTGGAACACAGGTTTCTCATTTCTGCTTGTAATATATGTAGGAATATTGTACCACCCAGGGTCTGGGAGCTGCACTGTTCAGTATTCTTATTTTTCCTCTCCCATGACAGTAGGTGCTCGTGCTCAATTATTACGCCCGACAATACTAGACATAGCCCGCGAATTCGGGTGGACTTGCTAGACCTATTAACTAAAGGGACAATTGGGTTTTTGAAGAATTTATAATGACTTAAGTCTATCATATAAGCATATTTGATATTAAGTCCTATTATTATCTATTTAGTGAGTAGTTAAGTCCAAACTTTTTTGTTAATACTAAAATGATCTTATTTTTACGTTCAAAGCAAATTTCAATGTGAAAAACAGTTTTCAAATCAGGAAATCAATTATCCTTAAATGATGTTGAATGGTGATTTTCTGTATTTTTTCCATAAAATTTGAAATTAAAAAAAAAGCTCAGATTTCATCAGAAAGTACAACCTTCATCCTTCTGAGATCTGCTCTAAGTATCTATTCACCTCCTTCCTTTANATGATGTTGAATGGTGATTTTCTGTATTTTTTCCATAAAATTTGAAATTAAAAAAAAGCTCAGATTTCATCAGAAAGTACAACCTTCATCCTTCTGAGATCTGCTCTAAGTATCTATTCACCTCCTTCCTTTAGCAATTTATTAACTTCTCCCAATAACGTTACTGTTCAGCAAATTTCAATAACTGTATATCATCCTCTATGGAGAAAGAGATGATACAACACCATTTGAGATACAGCACAAGAGATCACACACAATCGTAAACGACAGCACGAGGCGAAAGAAGAGTGGGCTTCATTGCCTGCTTTGCAGTTTGCGGCCGAACGTAGTGCTCCAAGATAAATATCCCCTGTGGCTGCATCAGCAGCGGCACCCGTAGCCATAACGTCGGTTGTAGGTAACAGAGGTCATGATTTGTCTTGTGGTGGTGATTGAGTTAGAGAGAGAGAGAGAGAGAGGGGAAGGGGCATTCAATTTTGATTTTTTCGCATATTTCTTGATTCGCCGACAATGTAGGTGGTGGTGCTGGAGTTAAATCGATGGTGTAAAGGAGGCAGGGAGTGCCGACGGTCTCTCCATTTAAAGTTTTTGCTTTTTGTTTTTTTTTTTTTTTTTTTGGGGAAGGAGAGTGATTTCAATCCTTGACGTCAAGATGATGAAAGTTTCTAGAATTGGCTAAGTCCTAGATGTTCGTATTGTTCGGGATAAGAGGGAACTGCGTTCCACACTCTTTTTAGTCAATAGTGTGTTGCTTGTTAAAAGACTAAACACATAATTTGTTATCTATTGAATTGTATTTATTAGTTATTGTTTGTGTCTGAAGACACTAAGTAATAAAAATAATTATCAATTATAAATTTATTTGTATTTATATTCAAAACTAAATCACAAACATAAGAGAAATCAATTTAAGCACTAATTGTAGTGAGAATGAGCGGTGGTAGTGGAAGACGATAATGGTTGTGGTGGACGACAATGATTGTGGTGATGGTGGCAATCGTGAGTGGCAACTATGACAGTGATGGTGGGTTTTGGGTGATGACGGTACAAGTGATAGTCATGGGTGACAACGGTAATTGTGGTAGGTATGGGTGGTGTTGGCAATGGTAATTGTGATTGGCAGTGGTGGTGGCAGTGGCGGTGACGGGTTTGTGGTCTGAGTGCTTCATTAGATTTTTTATTTTGTTTTATTTTAATAAATGAAATAATAGAACATGAATTTTGATTGTAAAATTCATGTTCTATTATGAATAACTTAGACACTTTGTTTGATTTTTTAGTTTTATTATAATAGATAGTATAATTGTATACTAATTAAGATATTTTAAGAAAAAATTGGCTTTTATGTTTTCCTAAGGATAGCTCGTGTCTGAAGGCATGGTGTAACGTAAGTGAGAAGTGATGGATTTGGGAGAATAAAAATTTAATGTGAATAAGTTTGAGAGAAATGTTAAAGGTCATTAGATGAACCTATTTAAAGCTATCGAATGTACTTGTTGAAATCTGTCATATTTAATATTCNGGTGTAACGTAAGTGAGAAGTGATGGATTTGGGAGAATAAAAATTTAATGTGAATAATTTTGAGAGAAATGTTAAAGGTCATTAGATGAACCTATTTAAAGCTATCGAATGTACTTGTTGAAGTCTGTCATATTTAATATTTNGAATAAAAATTTAATGTGAATAAGTTTGAGAGAAATGTTAAAGGTCATTAGATGAACCTATTTAAAGCTATCGAATGTACTTGTTGAAATCTGTCATATTTAATATTCTTATAAAATTTATATTTTACTCATTTTTTGATATATATTTCATAATTTTTGAACCAAAGGAAGTTCCAACAAATCATACAAATACTCTAAGGAACAATTTTAGTTTGTTAATTTTAAGAGATTTGGTATGAACTTTTTTTTTTTTCGTTTCTAGTACTTAACTTGTTTGACCCAATTAATTTTATTTTTCATAAATCATTACAGCGGCCTTAATTAAGAATATCCNTAAGGAACAATTTTAGTTTGTTAATTTTAAGAGATTTGGTATGAACTTTTTTTTTTTCGTTTCTAGTACCTAACTTGTTTGACCCAATTAATTTTATTTTTCATAAATCATTACAGCGGCCTTAATTAAGAATATCAAAAAAAAAAAATAATTCAGGGTGGTCCTAAATCCCTCCTCTATCCGTCATCCTAAATTCCTCCTCTATCCGTCACTGCTACAAGAGAGAGAGAGAGAGAGAGAGAGAGAGAGAGTGAAGAGTAAGAAGATGAAGGTAAAATCAATCGGAATGGTTTCCAAAGAGATGTTGACGGTCGTTGGATGAGTTTATTTGAGACCGTCAAATGAACTTATTGAAATTTTTCCTGTTTTGTATTATAGATAAATCCACGAAATATGATAGAATTGCTTTAAAAAACACTAGTTTATATGCATGTAATCAAAATCAAACATTAATTTATATGCATGTAATCAAATCGAGTCAAATTTAATATAAATTAAAAATCTAATTTATCAAAAAGTATATCGCCAAATATGTTCTATCAAAAAAAGTTCTAAAAATATCATTTATAAAATATTATTTTTTTAATTAGTACAAGTTATTACAAAATTATTAATTTATAAGAATATATTAGTGTTGAATTTTCTTAAGAGATAAAAAAAATTAGTCTTGAACTTTTTATTCAAGATATGTGTAAGATATGTTAGTTTTCAGATAATTAATTAAATAAATAAAATTAAAATTAATTATATTCAATATAAATGTGTTAGGCAGTGCCCNTTTTCAGATAATTAATTAAATAAATAAAATTAAAATTAATTATATTCAATATAAATGCGTTAGGCAGTGCCTNGTTGAATTTTCTTAAGAGATAAAAAAAATTAGTCTTGAACTTTTTATTCAAGATATGTGTAAGATATGTTAGTTTTCAGATAATTAATTAAATAAATAAAATTAAAATTAATTATATTCAATATAAATGTGTTAGGCAGTGCCCTTTTTTTTTATTTGTTAAATTGATGAGTTTTTTTTAATTAAAATATTATTATTGTGTCTTATAAAAATTCAAAATGTTACATTACACAGATGATATTAATGGTAAATTTGACTCATTTTATTATTTTGTTAAAGAAAATCCTATGTTCCAAGATAAACTATAATCGTTGACCAATTGGGAGGAAATATTAAGGAAAAAATGGTAATGTTTTGACTNTTACATTACACAGATGATATTAATGGTAAATTTGACTCATTTTATTATTTTGTTAAAGAAAATCCTATGTTCCAAGATAAACTGTAATCGTTGACCAATTGGGAGGAAATATTAAGGAAAAAATGGTAATGTTTTGACTGTTGGATGAATAAATTTGAGATCGTAAGATGTGTCCAAAATCAGCCATAAATGTTGACTGGTTTGGGAGGGGGGGATATTAAGGAAAAAAAAATAATTTCTTGACTGTTAGATGAATGAATTTGAGACCGTAGGATGAGCTTGTTGAAGCTGCCCTGTTTTGTATTATAGATATTTTGTTTCAATAAATAATACAATAGAACATAAATTTTGGTTTTAAAATTTAAAATATTTGATATTCTATTTTTTATTGAAATATTTTTGGTCTAAATATAACATTTTAAACTTGAGNTGGATGAATGAATTTGAGACCGTAGGATGAGCTTGTTGAAGCTGCCCTGTTTTGTATTATAGATATTTTGTTTCAATAAATAATACAATAAAACATAAATTTTGGTTTTAAAATTTAAAATATTTGATATTTTATTTTTTATTGAAATATTTTTGGTCTAAATATAACATTTTAAACTTGAGAGGCCTAAGTATTATACACCTACAAACTTTAGGGGTCTAGGTATAATTTACTAATGAATATTTGACGATAGAGGTCTAAGTTTTACGTGCATACAAACTTCAAGAGGCTTGCGTATAATATTTCAAATGTCAATGAATTTGAGTAATTAAGTGACAAATTTCAGGGGTCTGGGTGTAATTCTCTCGACCTATATCTATATTTATATTTATTTTATACTACTTATTATATTATATTCTTATATTATTTATATTTATATACTACTACTACTACTTATATAAGTACTTTAAGGAAAAAAAATTTTGAT